TTGAAGGCTGCAGATCTTGAAAATCTGGACATCAAGATCAAACTTCACAGAACACCAGTAACTTTTTCGGATAAGATCGCATTTGCAGTAGTCAAGTTGTTGAGAGTTCCTACCGACCTATTCTTCAAAAAGAGATACATTCATCGTGCTGTCATGTTGGAGACGGTAATTTTCTTCCTCTCTTGATCATGCGAGTCATTTTATTTTTTTTTTTCGTAAAGATAAACGATTGATATTATAAGATTGCGGCGGTCCCCGGAATGGTCGGTGGTACTATTCGTCATCTCCAATCTCTCAGGAAGCTGAAGCACGACGGTGGTTGGATTTCTCATTTGCTTCATGAGGCCGAGAATGAACGGTAATTATTTCACGCGAGATTTTTATTAAGCAATTTCATTGACATTTCATAATTTTCTTTCAGTATGCATCTGATGACGTGGATGCGTATTTCCAAACCTAACGCGTGGGAACGTGCCCTGATCACCACAGTTCAGGGAGTCTTCTATAATGCATTTTTTGCTTTATATTTAATTAATCCAAAAATTGCTCATCGTGTCGTAGGCTATCTGGAGGAAGAAGCCATTATCAGTTATACGTCATTTATCAAAGGTAAACTATATTTGTTGCAAAAGTGCCTCTATGATGTCGTCTAATGATATATCCTTCCGTTTATAGAGATCGACGCAGGAAATATTCAAAATACTCGAGATGTTCCCGACATAGCAATTGATTATTGGCGTTTAGATCGAGAAACTGTGACCTTACGCGATGTGGTATTAGCAATCAGAGCTGACGAAGCCGCTCATCGCGACACCAACCATCATTTTGCCGATCGTATTGTGCTCGGTCGCGAAGACTTGAGGGAAGACATTAAACGTGTGGTCGAAGAAGAGTCACGTCGCGAAGGCGGTGGTAAGACTAGGAAAGTTGCTGGAATAAATGAAAATGCAGGTGAAGCTTGGAAATGGTAATTGTGATACGAAAGAGGATTGTCTTCTCATTATACAATATTTACATTTCTATTATCGTCTTAAAACTCATTACGAAAAATATGTAAGAATAATTATTGTTTTTTAATAAATGCGGCTAAAAAGGAAATCTAAATTAATGCTAAGCCACATTGATATTAGCGTGAGAAAAATCATGTGTATCACTTAAATGGTTTGCGTTCGGCTTTACAATACCCTGGCTGGTGAAACGTACATTTTTATCCTTTCACAAGAGGAAGCATTTGTGCGATTACAACATATGCACGTCACCAATTTAAACTTTACCAGGATCGACAGTAAAAAAGTTATATAATGATAACGGTTACGCAAATAAGATTTTTTTTTTCGAAATTTCAAATTTAAAAATGTCCACATCAAATCGTAGGAAAGCATCCGAAAAATTGTCGAATGAAAGTGAAAATGAAATAATCGAGAAAATAAAAGAAAATGTAAATCCAAAACCAACCAAGGATGCATCACATCTTTTGTCACTATCAGTTTCCGGAGCTACTTCCCTTGTTTTACTCCAACTTGTCAGCAGGATGGCAACTTTTACATTACACCAAATCGTATTACGGTTCACCGATCC